TTTTTTTTTTTTTTTTTTTTTAAGATGTTAACAACTACATTTATTTATTTATTCCATGTGTGCAGAGATCAGAGGACAATCTGGCGGGAATTGGTTTTCTCCTTCCACCATGTGGGTCCCGAGGATTGAACTCAGGTCGTCAGGCTTGGAGGCAAGCACCTTTACCAGCCAAACCATCTTGCTGGTCCTTGGGCTGCTTTTTGTGTAAGGTGAAGTTTCCAGTTTGGGCACGGGGATAGCATGAGTTTCAGGATATTTTTGCTTCCTATTTCCATGAGTTTAAACTCAAGGGAGGCCCCAGTCCTGGGATGATTCAGTGGTTGAGGAAGGAAACCACTCCATGGGTCACCTTTTCTTTTTAGCAGGTCAATCTGAAAAGGGACCCTTGTGGGGCGGAGAGTGTGACAGGAACCCCGATTTCCTGTTTCTCTGTTTCTGCCAGGCCACGTCCCCAAGGGCAAATCCCAGCCACAGAGTCACATTCTGGTGTGTGTGTGTGTGTGTGTGTGTGTGTGTGTGTGTGTGTGTGTGTGTTTAAGCCACCGAGAAACGCATGGAAGAAACACAAGAAGTACATGCAAGCATAGGGAGACAAAAGCCAGGCTTTCTGTCCAGAGGATAGTTAAAAGGAGGTTGGCTAGAAGCTGGTGAACTCAGATAAAGAAGTACTTATAAAAGATTTGTACAGGCTGGGCATGGTGGCATACACCCAGCTTGGGAGCAGAGGCAAGGGGATTCCCATGAGGACAAGGCCAGTCAGGGAAACACCAAGGCCGTGCCTTAAAAAACAAAAAATACAACAAAACAAGATTTGAATATTCACAAAGAAGACATCCAAATGCTAACTGAAGAGCATGAAGGAGGCCGATGAGATGGCTCTGTGGGGAAAGCACTTGCTGGGGGAGCCTGATGACCTGAGTTCAATTCCCCGAGCCCACAAAGAGCTGGATGTGGTGACACACAGCTGCAATCCTGGCACTCCTCAGGTGAGATGGGAGGCAGAGCCGGGAGAATCGGCAGAAAGCTCACGGGCCAGCTAGCCTGAGGGCCCAAGAGCAGCCGAGGCAGTAAGAGAGACACCTCAAAAGGTGAAGGGGAGAACTGACCCCTGACCCCGCATGCACACCTTCACTTTCACGAACACGCTACTAAAAACGAAGATGTATAAAAAAGTATAAATGATACTCATAACCAGTTATCACTAGTTATTACTAAAATGAAAATTAAACCATAATCAAATGCTATTATATATCTATTAGAATGGTTGAAATAAAAATATCCTGGGGCCGGGGGCACAGCTCAGTGATAGAGCACTGCTTGGCATACATGAGGTCCTGGGTTCAATTCCCAGCATCCTCCCCCATCCACTCTGAACTGACAGTCCAGACAAGCGCTGGCCCATATGCAGAAGGGCAAGAAAGCTCACATGTTCTGACCCAAGTGAAAAATGCCAGTCAGGGCTGGGGGCGGGGGTGGAGTTCAGTGGTAGACCCACTTGCCTAGCCCGCTGGGATCCAGTTTCAGCCCCCAGCACTCAGAGCAAGGACAAACAAACATCCGACCAAAATTACTGTCTTTCTGAGACCCGCTGGGCAGTTTTTTATAAACCTCTATAACGATGAGACCCAGAAGCCTATTCCTAGAGAAGAAAACGTTAAATCTACATAGCGACCCGTATACGAGTTCTCGGAGTCAGAAGCATTACTCACAGATATTACAGACTAGAGACAATTCAGGTGCCCTCTGTGGGTGAGCCGATGAGAGGTGGCACCGACCTGACCCCTCAGTGGCTGCTCTGAGCGAGGGATGCAGGCAGTAGCCGAGAACAGAGTGACTGAATGAAGCCGAGAAGATGATCATCTCAGTATTGTTATGAATGAAGCCCTTCAACAGGGAGGAAAGGAATTACCTTTTTTTTTTTTCTTTTGAGACAGGGTCTCATGTAGCTCAGGCTGCCTGTGAAAATGCTGTGGCACTCAGGACGACCTTGAATTCCTGATCCTCCTACTTCCCCCTCCCGAGGGCAGGGTTTACAGGCTTGCACCATCATGCCCACTTCATGTGGTGCTGAGGATGGAAGAGGTCTTTGTACACTCAGGGGAGCTCTTCATTGGCTAAGCTACATCCCAGCCCACAATCAATTGCAAACACACATCTCTTTTTCAGGTTAAAACACCTATATTTTTGGGGGTGGTGGTGGTGTGGTTTCAGACAGGGTTCCTCTGTGTAGCCCTGGCTGTCCTGGAACTCGATCTGTTGATCAGGCTGACCTTGAACTCAGAGATCCGCCTGCCTCTGCCTCCTGAGTGCTGGGATTAAAAGCATGCACCACCACCACCTGGCTAAAACACCTGTATTATTTATGGAGTCTTTTTATTTAAGTTATGTACAATCATTAGTCTGTTTTTTTTTTCTTTCTGTTTTTTGTTTTCTAAGACAAGATTTCTCTATATAACAGTCCTGGCTGTCCTGGAACTCACTCTGTAGACCAGGCTGGCCTTGAACTCAAGAGCCCTGCCTGACTCTGCCTCCCAATTTTTTTTTGTGTGTGGACTAGTCTTGATTTTTGTGTTTGTTTTTGTTTGTTTGTTTTTTGTTTTTGTTTTTTATTTTGTTTTTTTCAAGGCAAGCTTTCTCTGTGTAGCCCTGGCTGTCTTAGAACTCACTTTGTAAACTAGCTGGCCTTGAACTCACAGAGATCTGTCTGCCTCTGCCTCCTGAGTGCTGGGGTTAAAGGCATGCATCATCACTATCTGGTTGACTAGTTTTAATTTGAAGAAAACTAGAAAACTCATATTACTGGGAAGATAAACACTGAGTAGACATATTGACAAAAATATTCTGATTGTTTCTCTGCTGTGACCTACTTTTTGTCTGCTGGTGACATCCGATCCAAATGAGACCAGAGGTGGCTCTATCCCATGTGTGATTTCCACAGGTCCAACCCAATGGCCAAGAACACACAGAAAACCAGAACTCATAGCTCCTTTCCAGAAACTGGTTCACAGGTTCAGGGGAAGGCCACCTTCATTCCAACCTTACCACACCGATGCTTTCAAATGAGAAAATGGCTGTTCCAAAGAAGAGAGGGTAGGTCTTCCAGCTTGCTACCAGTGGCAACTGGCTGGGGTCTGGAATTCCCTACAGGAGAGAGAAATGCAAGACTGTCACTCTATGGGCACACTTAAGCTTCTCTAAGAAAGAAGGATTCTGAGAGGAAAGCTGGGTTTGAGAATATTGAATGCCACAAAGTTCAGCCAGCCTTTAGAATGGGTAAAAATGATAAATATTGACTTTAATATTGCACAGTACCAAAGAGCCAGAGGGCAGGAACGTACAGGCATTGTCAAAGCATGGAAGATCAGTTTCTCATGAAGGGAGCAGGTTTACCAGAAGTCTCTAAACAATATTGCATGCATTACAGATCAGTGACACCCAACAGCACCCAAGAACAGCCATGAGTGGATACTGGGTGTGAGTACTAGAAATTATCATAATGTAGTTATAGAATATTCTAGGGAGCCCTAGATAGTTGAATCTGAAAGTCTGCTTTTCTCTTTCTGAGCTGTAGATTAAAGGGGGAGAACGGAATGGGTAGAGTAAATCCTCTACTCAGCCAGTGGCCCAGGATGTTAAAAGAAACACAGAATCATTTTTTATAATCGAGGATTCCTGGAATAGCCCCAACATAAAGCAGGAGTAGCATATGTGTGTACAGGTGTGATGTACATGTGTGGAAGCCAGAGGTCAATGTCAAGTGTCTTCATTGGTCCCTCTCCACTTTAATGTTTGAGTCAGGGTCTCGCACTAAACCTGGAGCCCATCCATTTGGCTAGACTGGCTGGTCAGTCAGCCTCAGGGATCCTCCTGTTCCTGCTCTGCTCACCCCAACTCCCCTCCTCTGGTGCTGGAATTACAAGCATGTGCCACAGCACTCTGGCTCTTAGACAGGTTCCGGGACTCTCAACTCAGGTCCTCAGGCTTGTGTGGCAAACGGGTTACTAATGGAGCTCTGTAACCCTGCAAACACAGCTTTTGAAAAAGCTCGATTCGGTATTAAAAGCAGTCATTTGGAGACAAAGAAGGGATGAGAGAGCTAAAAAGACAAGATGGTACAAAGAGGGAATGTTACAGCAAGATGGGTCCTAGACTGAAGGGTGAGGAACACACCCATCTTAGGACTTGGGGCCTGATGTCTCGTATGGATACAAGGGCCCTGTCTCCTGGGGAGTTAGCGGATGCCGTGCACCCACCTGGACGATGTACTGGGCGATGATGATCAGGCTGACCAGCATGCTGATGTTGGCCAACAGGGAGAAGATGGTGAGGACACGGAGGTTCCGAACGAAGACCAGAAGGCCCAGAACAGGCAGGAAGGCAAGCATGTAGAGTCGCGAGTCCATGGTGGGCGTCAAAACTAGGGTCTCGTTGTAGTGGCAGCTGATGGTTGTGCCATTAACAGCTTCTACTACCTGAGGAAGAGATGAGAAAAGCAAGAGGAGGAAAAAAGTCTGAGCACGTGGTGGACTCAGTGCTTTCCCCAGATCCAGGCTTTCATTAAAAAGTCAGGGGTGGTCTAGTGTAGGGCACTGGAAACTTCTCTTTGGTTTTAATTTTAGGAAACATTTACATTCATTGATGTGTTTGTGTGTGCATGTATGCACCCCATGGTGCACACATGAAAGTTGGTTCTCTCCGTGCACTATATGGGACCCAGGGCTCGACCTCAGGTCATCAGGTTGGCAGTAAATGCCATCTCACCAGCTCATGAAACGTCTTGTTCTAAATCCTCTTCACCAGACTACCTTAAAGGAGGCTACCAAAACAGCGAATTTCATGACAGATAACTGCATTTGTCGTGGGGGGGCGGGTCTGGTGCCTTGGCTCCCTGGCATCCATTTTTCTGGTATTGATTATTCGTACTGAATTCTCTTTGCTGCTGAATGCAGTCTTGGGAAAACTGAAAGTCACCGGCTGGAGGGCTGGCCTGTGAGTCAGGCTCTGCGCTCAGAAATACAGATGGGTATCTCAAGGTAAGTGACACAAAGACCAACTAAAGAAGGTGAGAGTGAACTCTGACAGTGGGGTCCCAAGCGATGACTCACTCATTCTGGTGTCTGCAGCCCGCTCCCCGCAACACACACCATGCTCTGGCTTCTGGTCTTTTTGGAGCCCTGCATTTTAGCCTTCTCTTCCATATTGTAAGTCGGCTTAGATCCTTCCACTACACATATTTTCTGTCTAAAAATTTCCCAGAGTCTCCTTCTTTCACTCATAACCCCCAAATCCCATCAGTTATTGCTCTGTAACTGGTCTGGAGAGTTAGTCTCTCTGTCTTTAAAACAAAAATGACAGATGCATTTATTTTTATTATTTTGTGTGTATGAGTGTTTGGCCTATGTGTATATTTGTGAGCCATGTGCATGTCTGGTGCCTGCTGAGGTCAGAAGAGGAAGTCAGATCCCCGGGACTGGAGTTAATAGACAGCTATGAGCTGTCATGTGGGTGGTGGGAACAGAACCCAGGTCCTCTGCAGGAGCAACAAGTACTCTTAACCACTGAGCCATCTCTCGAGCCCAGTTCTTTCTTGACTGGATTAGTAATAGCATTTTGAATGTCAGGGCCCCCCCTTTTTTTTTCTTTTGCATGGATTGGACCACTTATAGAAGAATGACATCCTTGAAGCCTACTTAGTGAAAGCCATTAACACACTCAAACATGTTGTAAGTAAGATTCCAATGGTGGTTAGTTTTAATTGTCAGCTCATTATAATCTAGAATTACCTGGGAAGAGTGTCAGTGAAGAATTGCATAGATCACGTTGGTCTGTGGGCATGTCCTTGGAGGATTATCTTGATTGTTAACTGAGGTGGGAAGACCCAGCCCACTGTGGGCAGCACCATTCCCTAGAATTGGGTCCTACACTATGTGATCACAGAGAAAGTGAGTGAAGGAGTAAGCATGCAGCATTCATTTCTCTCTGCTCTTGACTGTGAATGTGATGTGACTAACTGCTTTGGGTTCCTGATACCCTGACTTCCCTACAATGATGGACCGTAACCTGGAGTTGTGAGTTAAAACACACTCATTCTCCCTTAAGATTTCTGCTGTGGATATCACTCTGTATAAATTAAATGCTGATTGACCAGTAGCTAGGCAAGAAGTATAGGTGGGACAAAGAGAGAGGAGAATTCTGGGAAGTAGAAGGCTAAGGCAGAGAGATGCTGCTAGCCGCCACCATGAGAAGATGTTAAGGTACCGGTAAGCCACGAGCCGTGTGTCAACTTATAGACTAATAGATATGGTTTATTTAAGATATAAGAACTAAAAAAAAAAGCAGCCTGCTACAGCCATATAGTTTGTAAGCAATATAAGTCTCTGTGTTTACTTGGTTGGGTCTAAGTGGCTGTGGGACTGGTAGGTGAGAGAGATCTGTCCTGACCATGGGCCAGGCAACACTGGAGAACTCTTCAGCTACAGATTTCTTTTTGTTGAGATATTTTATCACAGCAACAAAAATGAGACTCAATCTCCCAACACACACAGTATACATGCCCCTTCTTTATAAGGTCAGGGTGAATGAATGGTCTACCCCAAGTTTAAAATCAGCCTAATTCTAATATAACAGTACAACTGTTCAGACAATAGGATTCATGGCAGAACAATTAGAATCTAGAATCATGTAAGAAGAAAGTGTAAAGCTGTTGTTGACATCAGTACTGGTGGAGAAGCATGGGGTCATCTCCAGAATATCCATCCATGCATTTTCTACAGAACATCACAAGTTACATGATGAAGATTCGTTTTATTTTGTAAGATGGCAATCACTGTGTCCATTCTTATTTTGAAACCTTATTTTAACTTAAGCACACATCACAATATATAAATATGAGTCGTTACTCCTTGAATTTTTTTCTGCTTCTTGCATGTGTGTTGCAGGGGTGGAAGCCTGGGGTTGGGCATGCACAGCAAGCACTGTGCCACCGAATTTCTGGGCTTGGCTATTTTTGGGCGGGAGAGGAGCAAGATCTCACGTAGCCCAGGTTGGCCTCAGACTTACTATGTAGCTGAGAACAACCTTGAACTTCTGATCCTCCTGCCTCCACATTCCCAGTTTGTGAGGTGCTGGAGACTGAGCCCAGAGATTTGGGAATGTTAGGCAATCAGTCTACCAACTGAGCTACATCCCAGCTCTCCGACCTTTGCCTTTTTGTTTGTTTAATGATTCCTCCCTACAGTAGGAAACATCCCCAGATGATTAGTGTGGTAGTTTGAATGTAACTGGCCCCATAAACTCACAGGGAGTGGCACTATTAGGAGGTGTGGCTTTGTTGAAGTAGGTGTGGCCTTGTTGGGGGGAGTGTGTCATTGTGGGGGCAGGTTTGAGGTCTCTTATGCTCAAGCTACATCTATTTCAATTCACTTCCTGTTGCCTGCAGATCAAGATGTAGGACTCTCAGCAACTTCTCCAGCACCATGGCTGCCTGCATGCTGCCATATCCTACTAAGATGATAATGGACTAAGCCTCTGAACTGTAAGCCACCCCAATTATTTTATTTTATTTTCCTTTATAAGAGTTGCTGTGGTCATGGTGTCTCTTCACGGCAATAGAAACCCTAACTAAGACAATTAGTCAGGCACTCACAGACCTCCATAAAAGATCTCTGTACAGTAGTCAGGACTCTTCCTGAAGGCAGCCACCACTGTCTTCTATAATCAGTAGAATTGCTTCTCTTGGGCCAGTCCCCCATATTCCTGCCTGGAAGTTTTTTCATGGTCTATCTCCCTAGCTTGGCTACTAGCACTCTGCAAGCTGCCCAAGCATGCCCAGCTTGCATATGGCTCCTGGAGGCAGCCTTCTCTGATGCCAAGGGCTTCACAATGATACTTCTTGACCACAGTGTGCGTTCCCAACACCTGAGCTGCCTCCCGGATATCACATGGAAGTTTGCCCATGTGTTTTAGAACTACCCACTTAGCTTGCAACCCCCTTAAGACAGTGCTTGCCTTGATAGGCAGCTGACAAAAAATGCAGATTGTGAGCAACAGATCATAAATAAAGGTTTGCAGATAGCACCTTGCTTTCTAAAGAGCTTCTGCATAGTGAGTTTGAGGCTAGCTTGGGCTACATGAGATCCTGCCTCAAACAATAAAATAAAGATAATACAAGCAATAATGTCCTTGGGCTGGGGATATGGCTTAGCTAGTAGAGTGCTTGCTGGGCAGGCATGAAGTTCTGGATTTGATTTCAAGTTTTGCATAAATCAGGCATGCTGGCACACACCTGACATCCCTACACTTGGTGGGTAGGGGTAAGTGGATCAGAAATTCAAGGTCATCTTTGGCTATATAATAAGTTTGAGGCTAGCCTGGGCTACATGAGACCCTATTTCAAAAAAGCAAAAAAATAAAAATAAAAATAAAAGAAACAGTGGAAATATTCAGCAACCGAATACAGATCATATTATGATCATTATTAGTGATGAACTGCTCCAAACTATTTAAAATGGAAGAACCTGGCAAAATGTGACTCAGTTATGATACTCAGCTTTCCATTGCTATAATAAAACACTGGAGATAATTAGCTTTTAAAGAGGAAAAAGTATGGGCTCCTAAGATGGCATGAGTATGTATACACACACACACACACACACACACACACACACACACACACACACACACACACAGGGTAATGGCTCAGAAATCTGTAGCTATCTGGAGGGTAGGGGAGGCCAAGCTACCTGATAGCATGCCTTTCCCTTCCCATGTTGTATTGATGAGTTTTTGAGGACTCAGATGAAGTAATGTGGTAGGCAAAACACTGGTAGAGAAGCTTCCTTCTGTGTCCTCCCCTTCCCACCTTGTCTAGAATACCTGTTTTAAATTGTCCGCCAGAAACACAATGTACACACAGCAGAAGCCCAGCTGGGTGACAATGAGGAAGAAACTCACGATGTGCCTGGAGGGAGGAGGAGGAGAAGAGAGAGACTTGTTATAAGAGAAAATGACTTTTCTGTTCCATTTCTTGCCATTCTGCCCTCTGTCCCCAAGGCTGGTGTCCTCCATACATGAGCACACATGTGCGCTACACATTCACCCTCCATCTTTCTGCCACTAGCAAGAGGCAACAATAGCTCTTTGTAAACAGCAGCTGGACACTCACAGTAGGGTAAGTGATTAAGTTCCTAGGAATGGGACCCTGTGTCCCATCTGGCTCCATGACATTCTTTGCCCATGCTTTCAAACACACAGCATTTATTAGCTTCCCAGAACACATAAAACATTTTTCCTAACATGTGTCAGACACTTCATTGGGTGTTGAAGATACATAGATAACACAGGGACTCTTGCTCTGGTAGTTTATAATAGAATGGTTTGTAAGATGGACAGAAATTAGCATTACAGGGGCAGAGGAGATGATGCAATTTCTTGTGTGTTCACAAGCATGAGGACCTGTATTCGAATCCCTAGCGCCCATGGAAAAAGCCAGGCATGGAGGTGCACACCTGTAATCCCTGGGAAGGTGGAGACAGAAGTATTCCCGGAGCTTGCTGGCTGGCCAGTGTAGCCAAATCAGTGAGTTCTAGGTTCAGTGAGAGATCCTGTGTGTGTGTGTGTGTGTGTGTGTGTGTGTGTGTGTGTGTGTATGTATATATCTGTAGACATATACATGTATGCATAAAGTGAATGAGAAAGTCACCAGATGTTGACCTCTGGCCTCCACTTACACAAGCATATGCACATATATGTTCATGAACATCCACACCACAGACCTGTGCATGCAGACACATAAACACGCACTCACACATAGGCATCCAAAGAAATTAGCATCATACTATGGCTTTAGATGCCATGGTGAAAAGAGACATAGTGTTATAATGAAACCCATTACTTTGCATAAATATGCAATCAAAACATATCCATATCAAAGGTTGTCTGCTGAGAAAAGTCTTAATAAATGTGTAAATCCCAATAATTTATCCCCAATATGCCTTCATTCCCTTGATATAGTGATCATTAATCCTAAATGGGGGAGAATAAGGGAGAGAGAGAGAGGGGGATAATATTAGTGAATTGTGGAGATAGGAAGAAGCATTCCTAGACAGACCACCACTGGCTGGAGGGATGGCTCAGTAATCAAAGTGCAGTCCAGTCCCCAGAACCCACATAAATGCCAGATGTGCATGTTGCTCTTCCAGCGTTGGGAGATGGAGATTGAGATCTCCATAGCAAGATGGCTAATGACATTAGCCATATCAACAAGCTCTGGATTTGGTTGAGAGACCCAGCCTCAGTGAGTGCAAGAGTGATGGAGGATGATTCTGACATCCACCTCAGGCCTCCACATGCATGAGCACACATGTGCCCTACATGTACTCCTACACATGCAAAAGTACTCACATCACACGTACATAGGAAAAATAATACACAAGAAAAGGCACCCTTGGAAGGGGGAAGAGAGAGGGGGGAGAGGAGGAGAGGGAGGAAGAAAGAAGAGGAGAAGGAGGAAGAGAAAAGGAAAAATAGGAGGAGGTGGTGGTGGTGGTGGAGGAGGAGGAATGAGGAAGGATTTATGCAGAGGGAACAGGTTTCACTACCTTCCAAGTTTTCAGCATTCACTCGGGGGAGTAAGACTTAGCCAGAGGGTGTGACAGTAGATTCTCTCCATAAAGAGCGAGAGAGCAGTTGCCTGTATGAAGCTGTGGTTACTAGGGCGGGAGGATGAAGGCATGTTCAAAGTTCAAGGGGGCTGGAATGTACAGACCCTGACCATGGACCACTGGGTAGGGAATGGATAATCTTACATGATGTACCTGGTTTTGACTTGGACCACTCAGAAGGAAGGACGGGCCTGAAGAGAAGGGGACAGGACACACTCATTTGGTATCTGAAGCTGAACACTGCATGTGTCTCAGCAGCTGGGATGATGGGTTGTGGCAAGGGACAAAGCCTTGAGGAGGCAGTACAAGGTTGAAAAGCATGCAGAATCTGAAGAGGAAAGGACAGAGGTGCTAACTGTCAGATCCAAAGGAAACTCTAATTCCCCAAACTCCAAAAGGCAGTCCATGTATCCAGAACATGCTCAATGTGCTGGACTATATATAGGGTTTCTGGGGCTTAGAGAAAAGCCAGCATTCCTCAGAAATTTATGCAACCAGTTTCCATCTGCCAAAAGAGTAATTTCCCTTCCCTCTGGCAGAAGGGACATATGGCTCTCCATTGACATATACCTGTGGTTGCATATCAAAGCACACACTGGCCTTCAGACTCCCTCAGGATCACCAGTACCTGTTACACACTTCAAAGTCCATGCTAGGATTACAGGTGTGCACCATCATGCCTGGCTTTTTATGTGAGCGCTAGGGATCCGAATATAGGTCCTCATGCTTGTGAACACGCAGGAAATTGCATCATTTCTTCAGTCCCTGTAATGCTAATTTCTGTCCATCTTATAAACCATTCTATTGTAAACTATCAGAACAAGAGTCCCTGTGTTTTCTATGTATCTTTGCAGGTTCTCTTCTACCCTAAACTTCCCCCAGCGACTCATCCTTTTTATAACTCTGCTATCCCCACTGTTCTCTGCTCTTGCTAATTTTTAAGCTTTATTTATTATGTATACAGTGTTCTGCCTGCATGTATCCCTACCTTCCAGAAGAGGACATCAAGATCTCATTACAGATGGTTGTGAGCTACCATGTGGTTGTTGGGAATTGAACTCAGGACCTCTGGGAGAGCAGCCAGTGCTCTTAACCTCTGAGCCGGTCTCTCCAGCTGCTCTTTCTATTCTTACTATGTTTTCTCTATTCTCTACCCTCTGTTCTTCTCCCCTCTCTCACAGATAGCCCCAACCATGTTCAGTCTACTTTCTCTCTCTGCTCTGGACTCTTCCGGATGCCTCTGGCTGTTCTCTCTCTCATATAAAAACCTCCTAACCATACCACAGAGCAGTGATGTTGGCAGTTTCTTTACTGCATCCCTCTCACATACATCTGGAGCTGAAACTCTCCCAAACACCAACCCTTCAGAACATCATTTGATAGACACAGAGACCTACAGTGGATGTGATGGAGAACGGGGAAAGGCCAACAGAGCCAAGTAGGAAAGAAGAAATGATTGCCCCTCCAGCTGCTGAGGTCTCCCTAGGGTAGGGAAGGCTCCACAAGAAGGTCTTTTAGGACCATAGTGAAAGAAATCTCAGTGTAAATAGAAAGGCAGCAGAGACAAGAAAGCATGAATGCAATGCTAGGAAGTAATTAGAATTTGTTCTCTCTCTTTCTCTCTCTCTCCTTCCTTTTTTTTGTTTGTGTGTGTATGTGTGTTCACTGTGTGTGCATGTTTACTGTGGGGGGGCATATTCACTGTGTGTGTGTGTACACTGTGTGTGTGCAGAGGCCAGAGGTTAATGTCAAGCGTTCACTCTCCACTTGATTTTATCAAGGAAAAGGTCTGTTGTTGAACTCAGAACTCAGTAATTCTGCTAAGCTGGTTAGGCCAGCTCCCCCAAGCGATAGATCCCGTCTCTGCCTCCCAAGTGCTATTCCAAGTGGGCCACCATGCCTGTCTGGCTTATATATAGGTCAAAGGGAGCTGAACTCTGATCCTGATGCTTGTGTGGCAAGCACTTTATCCACTGAGCCATCTCCCCATTCCTTGGCCCAGTCTTTTAGGAAGCCAGACAGTGAAGCCCCAAGCAGTGGTACACATCTGGCTCAAAGTTTGGATGCAATGTCAAAACTACCACCTGACCCACTGCGGGTGTGCTGGCTGGTTTTGTGTGTCAACTTGACACAGCTAGCGTCATCAGAGGAAGGAGCTCCAGTTGAGGAAATGCCTCCATGACATCCAGCTGTAAGGCCATTTCTCATTTAGTGATCATTGAGGGAGGGCCCAGCCTATGGTGGGTGGTGCCACCCCCCTGGGCAGGTGGTCCTAGGTTCTATAAGAAGGTGAGCTGTTCGGGCCAGGGAAAGCAAGCCAGTAAGCAGCACCCTCCATGGCCTCTGCATCAGCTCCTTACTCTGGACTCCTGCCCTGATGAATTCCTGTCCTGACTTCCTTCAGTGATGAACAGCAATGCTGAAGTGTAAGCCAAATAAACCCTTTCTTCCCCAACTTGCCTTTTGGTCATAGTATTTCATCACAGCAATAGAAACCCTAACTAAGACAAATTTGTACCGGCATAGTGGGGTATTGCTTTGGCAGACCTGATCGTGTTTTTGGGGGGAATTGTGGAAGGACTTTGGAATTTAGGCTAGGAGAGCCATTGCGTGTTGAGAGATCTCAGTGGGATGTTCTGTGGGAACCTGGAAAGATAAGAATATTGAGAGCAGTGCAGAAGATTGAGGCCAAGCTTGTGAAGTTTCAGAGGGAAGTTTAAAGACTCTATCAGGGACATTTGTTATTTTGAATTAAGCTCCTGTGGTTCTGGTTAGCTGGGGCTGAAGAATGGGCTGTGAATAACAAGACATCAGAACTGCTAAAGTGAAACTTTAATGGTACTGGGACAATTGATGCTGGTCAGCTGGAGCCAAGAAATTAGCGATGATTAAGAAGAGACCAGCATCCCTGGTGAAATCTTCTGGGAAGTGTTTCCTGAGAGTACAGAGAAGTTGTTGTGTTCCAGAGGTGGCCAAGAATGTACCTCTTACTGGCAGCTAGACTTGGTGGTATGTAAGAGTCACCCAGGTGGTACTGATTTTGAAGGCATGAAAGGGTCATGGAGAGCAGCTGAGGCTTGGCACTATGAGAGGCCAGGAGAGGCTATTGGTGAAGGTGCATCTTCAGTGGCAGACCCCCAGGACTGAAGGGGTCATGCAAAGTTGAGGCTTGGCACCATGAGGAGAACCTCTGAGAGGCTATTGGTGAAAGGGCAGCCCAGTTGCAGCAGAAGACCCCAGTGTTTTGGAGATGCCAGTGCTGTGAGATGACCACCAAGAACAATGGTAGCAGTGGATGAAGCCTACTGGAGCCTAGACGAGCTGTGTGCTGCAGAGGGCAGAGCTGGAGAAGTGACCCAAGCCCTTTGGAGGAGTCCAGAAGATTGTGAGTGGACCCCAGACATTAGACGGTTGGAATTTTGTTTTGCTTTCTTGAAGTAAGAACATATTTTACTGGAGCCCATAGTTGAGATTTTGAATTTTGAATGACTTTGTATTTTAAAATATTGGTTACTAAAATTTTAATGTGTTTGAATTGTAAAGACTGTGGGACTTTTTAAGTTATTTATGTTTTTAATGTGAGATTTTGGGGATGAATAAGAAAGGGAGGGTTGTGGCTTAATAGTGATGTGGTTATATGTCAAGTTGACAAGGGATCCATTATACTAGCTGGTGTTTGTGTGTCAACTTGACACAAGCTAGAGTCATCAGAGGAAGGAGCCTCAGTTGAAGAAATGCCTCTATGACATCTAGCTCTAAGGCATTTTCTCATTTAGTGATCACTGGGGGAGGACTGAGCTCATGGTGGGTGGTGCCATTCCTAGGCAGATGGTCCTGGGTTCTATAAGAAGGTGAGCTGATCAGGCCAGGGGAAGCAAACCAGTGAGCAGCACCCTCCATGGCCTCTGCATCAGCTCCTGTCTCCAGGATCCGGCCCTGCTGAGTCCCTGTTCTGATTTCTTTCAGTGATGAACAGCAATGCTGAAATGTAAGCCCAATAAACCCTTTCCTCCCCAACTTGCCTATTGGTCATGCCTATTGGTCATTCATCTCAGCAATAGAAACCCTAACTAAGACAGCAGGCATTTGGTAGATATCCCATGGATAACTGTATGAAATGCTTAGACTGTGGATATGCAACGCGGTTAAGCCACACGGTTAAGCCTACAAAATTTGATAAGAAAGTGATACATGGCCATATTTAAATGTTGAGAGAACTGGCCCACACCAGTGAATATGCAGATCCGAAGGTGATCGGGAAACAGATGGCAGATGGGGTGGGATAGGAGGCGTGGACTTAAACTCAGGCACCAAGGACAGCGGTGTTGGCACAGGTGTCCCTCCTGAGAGCTAACAGGTGGACTTCAGGTAGGAACAGTTCAGCTCAATCAAGTGTCCTAAACCTGGGTCTTTTGGTTCTTTTCGTTTTCCATTCTTTCCTAAGACTGCTTCTCTCCCTGGCCTCCTGACTGACACCTTCAATTCTGTAAGTCTGGCATTTACACCCAGTGAGGTCTCCTCTCAAATGTCACTGCAGACCCAGGTTGTCCAAAATAGAAGTGGGTAGAGGTCTGAGTCAATCTGACCCTTCTTTGCTGTTTTTAGTGCATCTGTGTGTGGGTACATGCATATTTTACATGTGTGTTCACATGTGTGTGCGTGCATGTGGAGGCAGAATCATTCTCCATTGCTTTCCCACCATTCATTGAGGTAGGGTTCCTCAATCAAACCCAGAGCTCCCTGATATGGCTAGTCTTGCTAGCCAGCTTGCTCTTGGGAATCCCATCTCCACTTTCTGAGTCTGGAATTGTAGGTGGCGCACCACACCCACCTGACATGCGTGTGGGTTCTGGAGATCTGAACTCCGGTCCTCACGCTCACACGGCAAATGCTTTGACCGATGAGCCATCCCCCAGCCCCAACTCTCTCCTTTCTGTTCGGCTAATCTCTTACCGAGACAACCTCTTCATTCCCCTTGTCACCATCGGAATGGACATTGTCTACACTAAGACCTCCTCAGGGGTCTGTCAAAGTCTGCCCTCTGCTCCTCATCATCTCTCCTCCTCACGGAAGCTGAACGAACCTTCCAAGAATGCACACATGCTTTACAATTAAAAGCTCTCTTAGCTTTCTGTTTTCTTAAGAAAGGGGCTGACAAGATGGCTCAGTGGTTAAGAGCATATGCTGCTGTTGCAGAGAGCCAGAGTTCGGTTCCCAGCCCCTACATCACAACCACCTGTAACTTCAGCTCCAGGGGATCCAATGTTTCTGGCCTTTGGGGGCACTTGTACTCACATGAACATATCCCTCCCCCCATAATTAAAAGTAATACAAATAAATACATTTAAAAAGAAAATAATAAAATCTTAGAGAGGGTCTAAACTATACAATATGGGCCAGTGAGACGGCTCAGTAAATAATGGTGCTCACTGCCAAACCCTGAGTTCAATCCTTGGGACCCACGTGATCAGAAGAGAGAACTGACTCCCACGGGTTGTCTTCTGACCTCTAAGTGAACCCCTCCCCCCCCAAACAAATAACTACATATTAAACAGTTAAAACATAAGATAGGCCATGGGACTGGACAGCTTCCTCAGTTTCCCCACCCTGGCTCTGCCTTCAGGCCACCTGGTCTGTAGCATGACCCTGTCACACCCCCACGTGGCTTGCTCCCCAGCTCTTCCCTTTTCCCAAAAGGTTCTTCAGGCCCTGCCTTCTCCCTCCTAATCCTTCAAGGCTACTTTCTACAGAATCCATCTCAGCTGTTCCAGTGAACCCCCCCCCACACACACACACCTCTTCCCTTGGCCCCGATAACCCTCCACCCGTTTGGTAGTAGCCAGAACCTCTTTCATGTGTATCCCATGGGTATTACATAATGAAGTTCTGGGCCGTCTGTCCTTCCCAACGGACCGTGGGTAATGCAAGGGCGAAGCCTTGCTGTCTGTCTTTCCCTGTGCTGTTTGCAGGGGTAAGTGTGGTTCCCTAAGAACATAGGGTAAAGGAACACCTCTCGTAGAATTACATTAGAACTGGATAGGTGACGTTGGCAGTGACCCCCCTCCCTGTGGAGAGTCTGACCTCGGAGTTGCCTTGTCAGGAAAGAAGACATTCCCTGACAGTACAGTTTTCTCCTCCCATATCCCCGACCCGCTGTAAACTAAGGGAGAACAAGGTACCTCCCCCAGTGGGCGTGGTTTCGCAGCCAGGCGTTGGGACCAGCTTCCAGGCCGTGCATCACTGTGTCCCCATAGTCCATGAAGGGCTTGTTGAGTCTGCAGGACAAAGCACATACAGCACTGTAAGAGACCGATGAACCTAAGACGATGACTTTAGAGAGACAGGAGGCCAATGGGCAGATGCTGTGTAAGCATGAGGACCTGAGTTCAAGTCCCAGGACCCACGTAAAAGCCAGGCACAGTAGCCAGGTCTGTAATTCCTGCAGAATGGAAGGCAGAAACAGGAGACTCCTTGAACCCCTGGCACTCTGTTGGCTGTGTAGCCTGGCATGTGCAGCAGCAAACAAGACTTTTTTTTTTCAAACAAGGTGGAAGGCCAGGACTGACCACTGAAGCTGTCCTCTGACCTCCACAGCGTGCTGTGTGTCATGTGTACACATGCATGCACACATGCATGCACTTCTGGCCATGCTCTGCACCACTCCAGGGATGGGCCTACGTGGGTTGAGGAGGGAAGGAAGAAAGGAAAAGGACAGACACACGGACAGAAAAGCTGGGATCCAGCATGCTCACCGTGATGCGGGGCAGCAGCTGCAGCAGCCCAGAACCCAGTGCATTTACTGTATACCTCTGACTTGAGGAGGCAGGCTTAGTGTGCGCAGCTGAGCATGGAGGCAGGTTTACCTAATCTGGGTAAGGAGGTCTCTGTACGGGAGCAGCCTCAGGCTGCAGTCATCCCAGAAGCAGCAGCTGTGGTTGATGGCTGCTACATACACTGTCAACAGTCACACTAGGAGCAGAGGAAGGTTTTGCCATCTCTTTGAGCCTCACCTTGGGAAAGCTTCGGGGGCATTGGGGTCCTTGACATGCTGTGCTCATGTCAAAACTGCACATCCACTCAGGGCTCCCTTCACTCCTCACAACTCACAGTTTAAAAAAAGAAAAAGTCAAGAGATCCAGACCCAGACCACACAGATACGGGGTGGAAAGAACACGGAGCTCTCACAGCAGCTTCTAATGGAGGCAGTTATAATTCCACTGCGCTTTCTTCTCACCTGGAAATTGAGGAGTTACCACACGGCATGAGTAACAGCGCACGCCTGGCGTAGGTGTAATGAGACCCATGGCTCTCACTGAACTGGGTTCGACTCTCCGAGGCAAGGACAGACTAGAGTTATTTACACCCAATATACAGGTGGGCCAACCAGGCAAGCTGAAAGGCCAGATTGAGGTCAGCCAAGCAGCCGTGTGTCCAGACCTCTCCTGTGGTCTCCCCATTCTTGAATAGGTGCCACAATCTGAGTACGTGTCACAGTCTTGAGTGCCATCCAGGGATCAGAGCCCACTCCCAAGCTCTGTCACCTCTGGTATCTGCTGGCCTCTCCACTGTCACAACAAACCCATAGGTTACACTGTGGCATCCGATCACCATGTGAATCCACCTGGCTCCTCCTCTCGGGATAGAGCTAAAAGGACCCAGTTACAGGAGCAGTTCAGAGGGGGAACTAAAGTATAAGTATGCATCGATTTGGACCCGTCACCAATTATCTTGGTGAAGGCAGATTTCAGTGCTCTCCTAATTCTAGTTTATCACTCTGGGGGAAGAAGTTGCACAATTCAACCAGATGCCTCTGCTTTACTGGCTCTAAGGGTTGTTCTTCAAATGTGGACCCTGGGCCAGCAGCATCCGATTGTCCTGGATCATCTTAGGAATGTATGCATACTCTTTTTTTTTTTTTTTTTTTTTTTTTTTTTTTTTTGGTTTTTCGAGACAGGGTTTCTCTGCGTAGCTTTGCGCCTTTCCTGGAGCTCACTTGGTAGCCCAGGCTGGCCTCGAACTCACAGAGATCCGCCTGGCTCTGCCTCCCGAGTGCTGGGATTAAAGGCGTGCGCCACCACCGCCCGGCGCATACTCTTGACTGTTGCCCAGATTCTATGAATGAGACCCTCCAGAGTGGGGCACAGGACGCTGAATGGACAAGTCTATGAGATACTGGTGCAGCTCATGGAGATCACGGGGATCATGGAGAAGGAAGTTCTTCTAATGTAGGATGTTTTGGGGATGTCCCCGAGGCCCACACATGGGACACTCCTCACCTGTGGCAGAAGTGCTGGGCACACTTGACCAGGATGTGCATACAGTGGCAGGCGATGAGGCCCATCACCAGCAAACTGAGCGGACCCATCTGCAGGCAGGGCAGACATGGACACGGTGGGAGAGAGGACAGCTTAGTAGTGCAAATGCTGCTGAGGACTCAAAGGTCTCTCCCTCTCTGTTTGGGGGAGGGGACTCCAGCACGCCACAGTACGTGTGTGGCGGTTAGAGGAGAGAGGTCAGGGCTGGTCCTTTCTCTTTCTACCATGGGAGTCCCAGAGATCAAACTCAGGTCATTGGACTTGTCAGTCAGTGCCTTTATTTACTGAGCCATTTGCTGAAAGGACTTTCTAGAAAACTGAGTTGAAAGCCATCTTGCTATTTTTTTTTTTCCAAAAGCAATCTCAAGTCATGTCCAAAAAGTACACATAGCAATCACAATGAAGCTTGTGCTGGAAGCAGGGGACCCAAAGTCTTGACCACATGTCCCTTTGGTGGCCTCTAAGGTATCCCCCAAGGACACCTAGGCTCTGTAAAGCCAGATTGGATAACTGGTCTACCTCCAACCCTTACATTCTGCAGAAGAGGAAGCTGAGGCCTGAGAGTGACTGACTTGACTCCTAGTGCCTGTGGCCAAGGCAGAACTTAGACCCAGGCTTGATGTTTGGATTCTAGGTCCATGTCAGTGACACCCCGCCCCCACCCTGAAACACTGTCTGCTACGGGGTATTTGAACCCATTATTGTCTCCTCCCCCATCCCACAGCTCTTCATAGTGCCCGGCACGCTCCCCCCTACCCCCCCACCCCCGCCACCGCCATTCCTCTTACCAAGATGCCTGCGTTCTTCACAGCCAGGGGGAGCCCCAGGATCCCTGTGCCCATGTTGCCTTTGACCAGATGAACCAATGTCTGGAACCCTCTGCAGGAGAGGAAGGAGGTATGAGGACGTGGGAGGGGGGATGGGAGAGGATCTAGCAGTCATTCCCTCATAGCATGCCAACACCTCAATTAGACTGGGCAGGCAGATTCACAGCCACCTTGATGCTCCTGTATCCTTGCTTGGCCCATGGTGGGTCTCCTGGAAAGTGACCACCCATCCCAAGTTGTCCAGGATTGTCCCAGCATTAGCAACTCATGCTCAGTCTATGCCACGAAGCACTAACTGTGAGAGATACTGTGCTGAATCGCTTATATATAACATCTCCTTTAATCCTTTTGGCCAGACAGTGAAGCTGGCACTGATGTGGGTTTTAGTTTACAGATGGAAAACGGAGGCACAAAAGTACTTAAATGATTCGTCCACGGATACACTGGGGAGCTGGGGCTGGAAGCCAAGCAGCTTCGCAGCTCTGGTTTTTCACTTCTGCAGAACTCCAGGAGGCAGACCCAGGACAAGGGCCGAAAGGGGCAGCCCCAAGTCATCACAGAGGAAACTGAGGCCCAGAGACCAACCTGACTTCCCAAGCTGTGGCAGAGACAGGACCGCACTCCAAAACTAGGGGGCAAGGCAGACAGGAGAATAGTCCCTGTGACTTCTCTGTGATAGGTCAGGTAACGTGGGTCATCTGGGGATTGGTCTCCAGAGAGGTTTTCTTTGCTTCCTAGCCCAGGACATTAAGTCTGGGGAATGGCATGACCCCTAACCCAATAAAACCCAAACTAAAGCAAAGGACTCCCACTCTTTCTTGTTATTGTTTCCTTATGGTGTTCGGGATCACACAGGGCCTTGTAGATGCCAGGCAAGTGGTCTACTACTGAGTGGTACCCTCAGCACTCACTCGTGATTTCTTCTTTCTTTTTCTTTCTTTCCTTCCCTCCCTTTCTCTCTTTCTCCTTCTCCATCTCTCTCCCTCCTCTCTTTCCTGAGACAGGGTCTCATGTAGCACAGGCTGGCCTCGAACTTACTATGTAGCCAAGGATGACCTTTAACTTCTGATTGTCTCACCTCCACCTCTCCAGTGCTGAGACTACAGGTATGTGCCACCACGCCCACTTTGTGCAGTACTGGGGGTCACACCCAGGGCCTTGTGCCCTCTACACAGGAACTCTACCAACGGATCTGTGTCCACAGCCTCAATTTACTATTTCTTTAAGAGAGATGTGAGGTTGATTCAGGGACAAGGTCATTTGGGGAGAAAAATTCCAAGTTGGGAACTTTCTCTCCCAGTGAATGTCAACCCCAGCTTTCTTCTGGATGTCTCTGTATCCTGACCTTGTGAAACAGGGTCCTGGGCTTTTATCTAACCTTTTAGAAGCCTTAGAAATTCCCCCAAAAACCCTTGCAGCCAGCAGATCATCTTAAATCAGTGACGGGAGTCTGGAAGGAGCCTGGGTTTTGGAATCAGACAAACCAGGATTCCAACACAAGGCCACTACTTCCCCAGCTCCGTCATTTTGTGGGGGCACACGTTTGGCTCTGGAGGGCCTCTGTGAATGTTAAGAATAATGCTATTTTGAAAGAGTTCACCCAACTCCCAGTCTCTGCATTAACCCCCAAGTCCTCTAGCATCAGAAGGTCTACCCATGGACTGGTAGGAGTTAAAGAACAATTGGAGGAGAAGGGAGGGGAGAGCCCTGCGTGCCTTTCCCTTTCCCTGTGGGTGTCAACATTGCTGACAGAGAACTACACCCCCTGGCCCCCAGTGATGGGCTTGTTTTGCAACTGGGAAGGGGTCAACAGGTCACTTAGGAAATTCCTAACTAAAGGACTTAGGAAATCAGAATCTAGCTTGCAGCCATTCAGCCAGCTTGCAGTGTGTTAAGCCTGCAAAATTCTGGACCAGGAGCCAGGAGGCCTGGGTTCCATCTATGACTCTTTTGGTGACCTAGAGCCACCATCACAGAATATTTTTAAGCAGCTAAGAGTACACAGGTACTGTGCTTGGGGCTTCATGCTCACACAGAAGGGGCAGCCATCCTGTGGGGAGCAAGCCATCATTTCTAGACTCTGTCACTGTCTCCAGCTGGTAAGCGGGAACTGAACCCAGGAGGAGACTCCATCAGCTGCTTGCTTGCCCAGCCTGTATGGCTTGTCTCCAAGCCCCACAAGGTCCTCTCTAGCTCATGCTTGCATTATTCTTTTGATTTTTAAGTAGCTGAACTTGCCACCTCAGCCACCAGGGACACAGGACAAGAGTCAGCTGGTTCTGTCAAAGTTGAGAAATATCCCTGCTCTGCAGTGGGTAACCCAGGGGCCTCAACAGCTCACTCTGGTGATCTCTAGCACTTAGAAGGTCCAGGACCAGTTCCAGGGACGAAAGAGCCGTGCCACACTGCCAGCAGCCAGGGAGTCCATTCCTGCAGTGTCTTGCAGGTGGTATGGAGAGAGACTGAGTCCATCAGCACCTTCTCTCTCTCTGCCACACATTCTCTTCCTCCCCATTCACCTTCAGTACACACACACACACACACACACACACACACACACACACACACACACACACACACACACACACTCCTTTAATATACCGGGTCATGTCTGATCCTCCCTGCTTTACATATGAGGGAAGTGGATTCGGAGGAGAGAAGGACAGGCTTCCAGTTGAACCCAGTTCTTCTGGTCCTCTGTTAAGTGCCATTCTACACTGAAGGTGCCACGCTTGCTTCTTAAAGCGTGAGTCTGAGCTCGCTGGGCTGCTGTATTGGTGAAGTTAAATGCGGGAGAACGTGCTGGAGCCCTGCAGCTTGTCATGGTCTCAAAACCTGTGTGCATGTCCCCTTCTCCAGAACCCATCTTCCAGGAAATGGAAGAAACTAGAATCTTCTGCATGCTGTTCCTTGAGCAGCACCTTTGCGACCTTAGTGGCAGCAGGGCCTTGCTACAGCGAGAGGCTTGCTTTTTGTTTGGCGAGGCCACGGTGGTCTTATGCTCTGATCCTGACTTCCTTCCAAGTTCTACCTCCCTTCCTAGACATCGAGACCCCCAAACTGACTTTAGCAACAGCACCATGTTCTAGTCTCTTCTCTGCCCGTAAACTTTAGCATGTGGCTTAAAGCCATTGGGCCTCAGTTTCCCTCTCAGGACATTTCAGGTTCTAAACCTGGCCTCAGCTAGAATTTCCTATTTGGCACAACCCGTGGCTGCCACTTTTTTTTTCTTTAGTGTTCCTGGTGGCACAGTGGGTTGAGGGTCAAGACACACCCACCTCAAGGTCCAGGCTGGAAGCTGATGGAAGCAGACATGGGGTGGCAGGGAGACGCACTCACGTTATGCCCTTGGTCTTCTTTGATGTCTCTGAAGAGTTCCCATTCATGAGACTAGGATCCTGGCTCTCCACCTTCTTGGTACTCTCAGGAGACGACACGAGGTCCAGCTTGACCGTGGTGGCTACCTGGGGACTCCCAGCACTCTTGGTCACGGACATGATGGCTTCAGAAAGGGCAAGCTCAGGGTAGGGAGGGGGCAATCGGGGAGGTGTGGGTGCAGGTGGAATTTGGGCTCAGTGGATCTGGCCTCGGAGCTGGCTCTGGCCTCAGAGCTTGCTCTAGCCAGGCTGGAATGAGACCACGCCCACATGCATGGGTGCCCCACCTCTTCTTGCCTGAAGAAACTCAGGGGAGGAGGAGAGAAAGGAGGGACTTGGGGAGGGAGTTGTGAGCTGTATTGGTATTTCCCAATCCCAGGAAAAGAGACAACAACTCCAATGCAGCTATTTTTTTCTTTGGAGACAGGCTCTCATGTAGCCCAGAGAGTGGCCTCCAACTCGCTAGGTAGCCAAGGATCACCTTGAGCTTTTGATCCCATTGCCTCTACCTCTTGAGTGCTGGGACTACAGACTTGTGCACCACCATACCTGTCTTTATACAGTGCTGGGGACAGGATCGAGGGCTTCCTGCTTACTAGACAAGCAGTCTACATCTCAAACCCAGCCTGATGATTTTCATGAGCTGAACTATTTATTACACACTCTCCTAAGGGGTACCCATTTCTGGCTCTGAGAAAACTCCTACACATCCCATCTCAGGTAGTCTTCCCAGATGCCACGAGCCTGCTATCTGCACTAAGAAGATGGGAAGGATACCTTACCCAGGGCAGTGGTTCTCAACCTTCTTAATGCTATGACTCTTAATATAGTTCCTCACATTGTGATGATCTTGCAACCATAAAATTATTTCGTTGTTACTTCATAACAGTAGCAATTTTATCACTGTCATGAATTGTAATGTAAATGTCTGATATGTGACCCCTGTGGGGTTGTGACCCACACGTTGAGAATCACTGGAGGCTCCATGGACGGACAGAACTTCCTTGGAGACAAGAAGAGGCAAATGCTACATGATTCCCAGAAGCATTTTCCTGGGCAGGGACGGGGTGTGATTTGCTTAAAGTTGCATGCGGCTTTCAGATTAGAGCTCTGGGGTTGAGGGTAGTCTCCGGAGCTTCTTGGGATTCTTTCTCTGTCATTATCTCTGCTTGGTGCAGATGAACCAGCCAAATTTTCCTCCTTCTACAAATTATAGCATTTTCCTCAAGCCGTACCCATCTGCCCCTTCCCGCTTCATCTCATCTTCAGAAAGCAGCACTGACTGAGGCCTATGTGCCAACAGTGTAACTTAAACACCTCACTGGTAACAGGGACACCGGAGACAGAATCTGACGGGCCGATCGATCCCTTACCAGGGCTCTTTCTGAGATCCCATGCAGATTCTGAATTTGTGGTGTGTCTGTGTACCTATGGAAGTAAGAGGTGGATTTGAGGTGTTTTCCTTAATCATTTTCCACTTTTTTTTTTTTTTTGAGACACTATGTAGCTCTGTCTGTCCTGGAACTATGTAGACCAGGCTGGCCTTGAGTTCACAGAGATCCGCCTGCCTCTGCCTCTGCCGTGCTGGGGTTAAAGACACACAGCATCACACCTGGTTCCAGAAACCTTGTGTTATTTTGAAACAGGTCTCTCAGTGACCCTAGAGCTCAACAAATCTGGCTGGCCAGTGAGCTTCAGCATCCCACATGTCTCTGCTCCCCCCACCCCACCCCCAGTAGTGGGATTATAGCCACATGCAGCCACGTGCAGCTGTGCCTGGCTCTTCTGTGGGTTCTGAGGAATCAAGCTCAAGACCTCGTTTGCACAGCAGACACTTGACTGACTGAGCCATCTTCCCAGCTCCTTCCCCCCTTCTCCCCTCTTTCCTAAGGAGTCCCACCCCAGGTTGGGAGATGGCTCATCAGTAAAGGTGCTTGCTGTCAAGCCTGACAACGAGAGTTTGATCCCCGGGGGCCTACTTGGTGGAAGGAAGGAGAAAACTGACTCCTGAAAGCTCTCCTCTGACCTCCACGTGCCCCATCCCAGCCACAAATAGATAAACAGTGTAATTTTAAAAACTACAAAGAGGAGGCTCATCCTTACCGCTCCTTCCTCCATCCCCAGTGCCAGTCTCCACAAAGCCTGGCCACTTCTCTGGGGAGTGTTGTTGCTTTGGTTTTTGGAAACTGGGGTTCTAAAAGACAAAGGACAATTGGACGGAGGTCACATCCCTGGCGGAGTCCCTGCTGCACCCCAGCCAGGTCCTTGCATGACTGCTACCTGCAGCTCGGATCGCCACACAGACCCTTGGTTGAATGCTGGGCCCCACCCTTCATGGTCTTGGCCTGAGTCAACTGTGGCCCTGGCTGTGGTTTGCAAAATATCCTTTCTTCCCTTGTCTGGCACCATCATACCGTGCTATTCCTGGTCTGTGGAGTGGCAGGCTGCATTCTGGGGCCTGCAATTGAAATTCCACAGTTCCATTCTAATTTTAGATTTCATCTTGCCGATAAAGCTCTGCTCCCTCCAGGCAATGAGATCTGTAAATTCAGAGTGTCGGGGGCTTAGGGTCAAATTGGTTTTGCTTTCCTCTCCAGATTGATTAAGAATCTGGCGTTAATCTTCAAGTCTTTTGGATAGGGGTGACAGGAATACTGGTGTCTGACTCAGGGCCCTTCATGGACATCAGCCCAAAGAAACCGTGTTGGGCGGGGTGAAGGTGTACACTCCGAACTTGCAACACCACTGGTCAGACCAGAGGACGAGGACTCCAGCATAAGCCAGTGGGAGTCAGGCATTTGGAGACCTGGATTCCAACATAGTGTCCCCCAAAAGCCACTGGGACCCTGGGAAGGACACTGTCCCTCTCCGAGCCTCACCCTACACCATGAAGAAGATAACAGTGCACATGACTTCTAAAGGCCTGAGGGCCAGAGGGACATGGGTGGGGTTCTCTCTAAAGCTGACCAACAGGCCTGGCTCCTCATGGTGGGGTCCATGTACTCTGTGTGAGAACAGTGTGCCAACAGTGTGCCCAGCTGAGAGCAATGTAGAGGGTGGGAGAAGTGAACACAATTTAGTTACACTTTAAAAATTGTGTGTGTATGTGTGCGTGCGTGCATGCGTGTGGTGTGTGTGTGTGTGTGTGTGTGTGTGTGTGTGTGTGTGTGTGTGAAGGAGTGTGCCATGGCTTAAGTGTGGAGGTCAGAGGACTACTTGCAAGAATTGGTTCTCTCTTTCCACGTGGGGATTCTGGGCTTGCATTCTTGCCTTTTGGCTTGGTGGCAGGTGCCTTTCCCCTCTGAAGTGTCTTGCTGACCCCAAGTACAACTTAAATGATGATGATGATGATGTATCTGTTTGGCTTTTCAAGACAGGGTTTCTCTGTGAAGCAGTCCTAGCTGTCCCAGAACTCACTCTGTAGACCATACTGGCCTCGAACTCACAGAGATCCACCTGCCCCTGCCTCCCAAGTGCTACAAGAGCTGGGGTTAAAGGTGTGCACCATCATTGCCTGGCTGATAAAATATTTTTGGTGACAATGTAGAGTTGAGGTGGTGTGGGGGGCTTCTTTCATTCTTGCATGGCAGTTCGAGGCGTAGGGTCTTGGAGGTGTACTGAATAGTCCATGGAGATATGAAGGAATGTAGGCATGCAGGCTTGAAGGAGCCTCAGATATGGGCTGTGTGTGTGTCTTCTAAATTCACTGGACTATTTTGAACCTGGCCTTGGAGTTAGACTGTTCATCTGGGCAAGAGTCATCTCTCTTCCTTTTAAACTAATATAACCATACATCTTCATGGTCACTATGTGGTGTTCTGGATATATATAGACTCCATATTGAGCAAATCAAGACACTTGTTTCTTTGTGACAAGACATTAGAAGTGTGCTCTGGCCTGATATGCCTTTAGTCCCAGCACTTGGGGGTACAGAGGCAGGTGAATCCCTGAGATGGAGGCCAGCCTGTTCTATGTAGGGAGTCCCAGGCCAGCTAGGGCTACCTTTTGAGACCCTCTCATTACAGGTGGATGTGAGCCACCATGTGGTTGCTGGGAATTGAACTCAGGACCTCTGGAAGAGCAGCCAGTGCTCTTAACCTCTGAGCCATCTCTCCAGCCCCCCTAGGTCTTAAAGGCATATGTCTCCAATGCTGACTGTATCCCTGAACACACAGAGATCTTATGGGATTAAAGGCGTGTGCCACCACTGCCACACTCTTGCTATGGCTCTAATAGCTCTGACTCCCAGACAACTTTATTTATTAACATACAATCAAAATAATAATTCAGTACAATTAGATTATCACCACAAGACCCCGTCAAATTTTTTTTGAAGTAATTGTACTTCTTTTACAAGATACAAGATGGCCGGCCATAAATTGCCTTCTGTAATAAAGTCAGAAGTGTATTGCTTTGCTGTTACCTTGTCACCTGTTGTACTCTGAGGTTACAGTGTTACCTGCTGTACTCCTCTGCGGTTACATTGTTACCTGCTGTACTCCTCTGTGGTTACATTGTTACCTGCTGTACTCCTCTGTGGTTACATTGTTACCTGCTGTGTTCCTCTGTGGTTACATTGTTACCTGCTGTACTCCTGTGTGGTTACATTGTTACCTGCTGTATTCCTCTGTGGTTACATTGTTACCTGCTGTATTCCTCTGAGGTTACATTGTTACCTGTTAACCAATGTCTCTCCCTTGCCAAGCCCCCTACCCTTCCTGACCTCCCCTGACCTCTCCTCTTTCTCTAGTTTAGGGTTTTCGGTATTTATCTTTGTGTGTCTGATTTGTTTTACTTATCATTAAGACCCCAACGTTGCCACAAATGACACAATCTCATTCCTTCTAATGGCTGAATGGTATTCCACCATGTCTATGACCATATATAGATTTGTCCATCCGTTCTTTGATAGACACCTTCCTTGACTCCATATCTTGCCTCTTGTGAACAATGCTGCAGTAAGTAGCTTCTTAGTGCATTAGAAAACAGATGAGGAACTGGGAGTGGCTCACCTGAGATCATATAATCTGGTCCAAACATTAGTACCTAAAAGTGAATTCATCACCCCACCCATATTCCACCGGAAACTGCCTCCGGCCTGTGGCTGAGCGTAGCTGCCCTCCCTCTCGGCACCAGAGCGACAATAGCAATCTTGTGTATGACTTTATCCTCTACCCCAAGCTCCAGACCAAGGGTGTCACTTGAGGTAGGTGGTTCCATCTCCCATTTGACAGATGAGAAAAATGAGTCTCGCAG